GTCTCTCTGTGGGTTCCTACAATTATATATATTTTAAAATCAGGTCACAGCTGTATAAATTATTATTTTTAAAAGACATAGTAATTTTCTAACAGATGTTTCAGAAGTAAACAGTCTATTCGTTGGGGGACTATTTTCAATTGAGTATTTGCAGCAGCAGGATGGTCAATGTGCGATCAAGTCAAAATAAACTACAGCGGTCATGTAATGAAGGAATAAAATGCTTTGCCTGAGTAGAAAACTTTACAGCTCATCTTGTGCTACCAGTTTCCCTCCAACCCTGTAAAGATTTGCCCATGCATTATTTTTTCATTATAGAGATATATATTATAGGAATTCTTTTTAAAAACATAACATTTTAAGAATACCAGTGTCACCCAGTGCAACAACAGTCTACCTTACTGATGTGTTTCTGGACAATGGAGGCCCAACCCTGTCTCCTATGAATTACATCCATATAGTACTATTGTTTTCCCAATTATGTTGCTGACAAATGTAAACTCTGCCTGGATTATGTTCACAGGCAACCAAAGTCGCAGATACGTTACCGGGGTGGACGGCAGGCGTACAAGTGGAGGATTGTGACACCCGAGTCCAGACTAAACATCCAGACTCCTGTCTGTAGGCAGCAAAAGCACTTTGGTTAAGGTAAAGGAAAGACTGTGGGTAAGGGAAATGTTATTAAACACACTTGTGTTTTGTATTAAACCAGACCACAATCTTTCCCTAAACTTAACCATAACACTGTTGAATGCTGTAGTCTCTACAAGCAAATATTGAATTGTGAGATTGAATATTTGGGTGGAAAACAAATTAAATGTGTTATCAATGTTAAGTTAATTAACCTTAGATTCCCTTCAAAAGGTATTAATAAATGTATTAATTACAATTAATAAATTTCTAGGTCACAGGCTATACTTGTTAGTAGGTTTTGATCTTTTCATGGGATTTGAATATATCAGTTATGAGGAATAACTGGGAAAAGATACATTTACTGTTATAGTATTACCCGGGTATTACCCAGTTGATTCATGTGTTATCTTGAAATTTGACTCAACAATATATGGGCGGATGCCTCAGTGATATCAAGGAGCAAATGAAACTAAAAATGATAAACAGAATGACTTCTTTTTTCCATTTCTGTTTTATCACACTGTGTCAGGGTGCCTGATCCTCTATCACCCCCAGTGAGAGGCAGGGTGAGTCCACCTGTCTGTCCTTCATCTTCTCCAGTACTGAGTGAGCAGATGGAGCGCCTCACAAGCTTAGTTTGTCTGGTGCCAAAAATATGCCGCTCATTTGTCATAATGCACACTTCTCCCGTTGGTGAAGATCTTTTGCTTTTTGATTTAATCACATCAGCTCGGTAGTCAATAAAGAAGCTATAAAAGTAATGCAAAACCCATGTCTGAATGTTCTTGGTCAGCAGTCAGGAGAGTCAGGGCACAGAATCAATGGCTCAAGTAATACTGTAGGTGAGCCCAGCTGAACTTTGATCAATATTAAACCCATGAGGATTGCTTTGCCACTCAATATTATACCTGCTGTGCTCCAAAGAAGCACTGTGATCGCACTTTGATCAAAAACGTAATGGCAAGGTCACTGCAGCAGTCATCCAGCTCCTGATGAAACCGTGAGCTCTGTCCTGCATCCACAAGCGTTACCGTCACTGGAAGAAACAGGAGACTTTGGAGGGATTTAATACAAACACAAGCTGCCCAGTTCCAAGTGACTTTGCCCTCTGGAGGGCATGAACTACAGTACACAGGCTGCTGTCTGTGCAGCTCTGAAATTGGCTCATAACGTGTCCACTGACAAAACAGTAACCCAATCTACTCATATGAGACTCACTGTCTGAGCTTTTCGTGTGACACCCGCGCATTGTTTCCCCTTAAAGCTTGGCACAGCTCGTCACTGAGTTGGAGAATAAAGGAAAAAGTCATGCAACTGAGGTATTTTTAGATCCATTAAGGGTTGCAGCACAGTCTGCTGTGTCACAGTCATTGGACCATCTGCTGGTCTTTGAATGAATTTCTTGGGGTGAATCTTTATCAAAGGCAGGATGGATGTGATCTCTTAGTGGAACACCCGATGAATTATAAATGACAGCCTCACATTGGTTTTGACCTTGCCAGGGCCACCTGTCTGTTAAATGCTAAAATGCTATCAGGCCTCGTCTTTGGTTTATCACTGTAAGATCAGTGATCAGCAGGGCAGAAGGGCGGCCCGCTGACCTGACCGTTAACTAGTGACAAGGCGAACAGGCCTCTGAACAGACTGATAAAACACAGCCAGTATATTTCAGCAGGAAACGGTTTTAACAGCTTCGTCTTACGGAGGAAGGAATCAGCCCAGAAAATATAAAATCACAAGCATGGCATACACAAAATGTGCAGAGATTGAAAGTAAGATATCGTTTTAACATTTTGACAGAGAATATGTCCTTGATGTGACTGTATGAGACAATAAAGCATCAAGTGAAACAGCCAGCTCCAAGCTTCGGAGGCCAAGATAGATAATCTTATAAATGATTCATTTGGTCTGCATATTTAATTTGGGTCTTTTGAAGCTATCACAGTCGAAGGCATTGTCAAGCTCACAGCACTAGAATTTATCCATCTAGTGAAGAGTTGTGCAAATAGGAAGAAAACACAAATTATGCTTGAAATACATTTTTTTTTAATGTATATCCTGAACAACAAATACTGCCCAGTATGTCAGTTTTCTATGTGTTGCATTTCTCCATGACTTCTATTTTTAGCCATGCTGAATCCTCTTCATTTCATAATTAGATAACAGGCTTGTAATCCAGAACACACAGCGAGAAAAGTCTGCTCTTCCAGTCTGCCGTATACACCATCACATCATATATATAAATTAACTTGGCTCCTTTTCCCTCTTGTGATGTGACACAGTCTTAGACAGGACTCACTGGGGTGAGTTTTTGGATAGAGAGCACTAGAGAGGAAAAGAGAGGGATGCCATCATGATATCAGTGCAGAGAAGCAGCAGTAGGCAGGCGTTAATAACAGCTAACATGAGGTGATAATGAGGATTCAGCCCCAAAACCATACACTGAAACTTACACCTCAATTCGTCACTATTTTTCTTGAACAGAGGAAGTTTAAAAAGTTGAAATTTGCTTGATGTTTAATGTCACAAGTGCAATCATCAGAGCGAAACTTTGCACAGTTAGAATACATGTTTAATGAAAGGCACTCTTTACAGGATAAATAAAACATTGCAAATTATGACATTGCATACTGTACAATGTTGACACATACAGTAACAGTCCTCAAATATTAAGTGCTTCATAACATAGTAAAGTGCTGAGTACCAACGTGACTAACTGATGTCACCTTATTGCATTTCATTTTAATTACATGTATTGCTCTTTCCATTGGTGGAAAATACAACGTATTTGTTTTCCACCCACACCTCATCATTATTGCATATTGTAGGATTATTAGAAAGGCATTGATTGTGTTACAACTACATCCACTGCCATTTCTATACAAGCTGTATTTATATGTATAATAAACTCACATACAGTACATTTTCAAGATTGGAATGTGGCATGCATACATGGTACCAATTCATTTTTCTGATGACACACAAATATCATCATTTCACAGATCCAGCTGAAGTATTGGCTTTCCCTATCACATGGAATAAATTGGTCATTACTATATGATTAAAATACTATAATATATTTTGCTACAATAAATATGTCAAACTTTCAGTTACTGATAATAAGAGTTGAACCTCATTTCGGCACACTATGCCATGCAATACCAACAAGAGAACACAGGTAAATGGAGAAATGTTCAGATAAAAGAGTGCAAAGTTGTTGTTTTTGGTCTTTGCCCTCTCCTTGAATCTCTGTCTGATCACAAGTATATACCTCATCTCACATTTCTATACACTCTGATAAATGTTTTGCCTGCCAACAGCTGATGGTGTAAAGCTCCAAAAGTGCTTAAGAGATATGTGGGAAAAAAAACATTCAGTGCAATGATATGGTTTTTAAAGGGTAAATTCACATTATAATAACATGTGAGAAGGTGACTGCATATACAGCTAAATCTGCATAATCTGGTGAAAAAATCCAAATAATAAAAATTAAACCATGTAGATAAAAATAACCTGTGATTATAAACGCTGAAACTGCTGCATGCAACTACTGCATGTACTATAATACAGTGAGTTTTAAACAGTTTCATGGTTTTGATTTATATTTTGCAGCCTATCTACAAGTCTAATCTCAGAAGAGCTAACGTGCCAGCTAATAATCACACAGATATTGTTACACTGTGTCATATGGAGAAGTGCTGCTGGCTGAGCATTCACAACTATAGATTTGCTGATAAGACAATGTGTGCGCTGATGTCCTCTTGCCTTACACTGGACAAATTCTGCCCGACCTTGAAAGTCATGCCAAGTTCTACCTAGATTTTGCTGAATATGACAAAGTATGACTAACATGGAAATGTGTTGTAATATGAGCTCAGAGTATACTTCCAGTTTAAATGCTACGATTATCAAAACCGTTTTTGATTTCTTTTGTGGGATAAACTTACTGTGATACAGACGTTAAGGACATTTTGGTCAAATTTACAACTTTCTCTGCCTTTCACTTGTACAATTCTCTACAAGGAGAACTTTCTGTAGTACAAATGAGCCATCACCTTTTTTTCTTCAAATTGCACTGGATGAAAGATAATAATTGTACCTTTGAGTTCTTCTCATCAAGGTTAGCTAGTAGTTGCTGAGTTGTGTTAATTGCACTTTGACACATCCACGAGCAGACAGACAACTTGTGTAAAGGCTGTCTCACTACACAGTGCCTATTAATACTGTTACAATATGCACAAATGCTGTCATGTTTGGAGTACAAAATAGTGAGAAAGATAAACTGCTATCACTCAGTGCATCTTACTACTGGATATGTTTGTTTGTCCATGTGTTCATGCCCTTGATATAAATCTTTAGTTTCTCTATCAGTGCATGCCATTTTTCTCATTCTGCCAGGTGCCGTTACTTTTGTTTAGTGAGGGTGTGCTTCCATACTTGTTTGCGGCTGACATTTTCTGGGCAGCCTCTGCCGCTGCATCCATTATCTGCTTCTCCTCCTGCTCAGTTTCTCGGTGGTAAAAATAGTTAAAGTTAGAGACGATGACGGGGACGGGCAAGGCAATGGTCAGGACACCAGCAATGGCACAGAGGGTACCGACCATTTTGCCTCCCATTGTGATGGGGCACATGTCTCCGTATCCCACAGTGGTCATTGTCACCACAGCCCACCAAAAGCCATCAGGGATGCTAACAAACTGCGTCTGGGGCTCATCCACTTCTGCAAAGTAGATGGCACTTGAGAATAGGATGACTCCTATAAAAAGGAAGAAGATGAGCAGTCCAAGTTCCCTCATACTAGCTTTCAAAGTCTGCCCCAAGATCTGAAGACCTTTTGAGTGCCGGGAGAGCTTAAAAATTCTGAAGACTCTCACTAGACGGATGATTCTTAGGATTGCAAGGGACATGTTCTGACCAGAATTCATATCATCATCAGGGGTTGTAGCTAACTCTGTTCCCAGGGTTACAAAGTAGGGAATTATAGAGACAATGTCAATGATATTCATGATGTTATTGAAGAAATCACTTTTGCTGGGGCACACCACAAAACGTACACCAACTTCAAAGCAGAACCAAATGATGCAAATAGTCTCCACAATGAAAAAGGGGTCTGTTATATACGCCATCACATCTTTAGTGGCGGAATGAGGAGGAGAACTGTCTTGGGTCCCGTTGAGGATTTGAGTTAAACCCGTGACAAAGTCAGTGTCCTCCCTGAACTCTGGCAGAGTCTCTAGGCAGAAGATGAAGATGGAAATGACGATGACAAACACAGAAACTAAAGCTACCGATTTGGCTGCACTGGAGCTTTCTGGGTATTCAAACAGGAGCCAGAATTGTCGTTGGAGTTCATTGGTAGGCAAAAGGACCTCTGGCTCTTTGACGAACCCTTCGTCTTCGCGGAACTGCTCCATCGCTTCATGACCCAACTCATAGAAAACAATTTCATTAGCAAAAACATCTAAGGGAACATTGGCTGGTCTGCGGATTCTCCCCCCTGACTGATAGTAGTACAGAATGCCATCAAAAGACGGGCGATTTCTGTCAAAAAAATACTCGTTTTTCATTGGGTCGAAGTAGCTTATCCTCTTCATGGGATCACCGAGCAGTGTCTCTGGAAATTTATTCAGGGTGCTGAGCTGCGTCTCGAACATCAAGCCTGAAATATTGATAACAACTTTCTCGTCTTTTTCTTCCATGCAATGCTTTTCAAATAAATCTTCATTCTCATAGCAATCCTTCGCCATCTTACTGAAGACGCTGTCAGTGGGAGACTCACTATTGATGAGGAGCTTCAGATTAGAGATCAAACTGGCACTGCTGGAGTTTGCTTTAGTGGTTAGAGATGGAGGAGTGGACGGTGACAACCCTTCTTGACCAGACTGATGCCCACGTCGTCCTCTATGTGGCGACTGGTGGGGAGAAGTCAGATGGTGGGGTAAAAGATTCTGATCGGGGGCCTCCGAGGCAGGTGAGGTCGGGTACCCGGAGTCACTCGGGTCTCCCAGGTTGATGCCGACATCATCCATGTTCTCAAAATTAACAAGTGGCACCTCCATCCCCTTTCTTGTCGCTAGCCACAGCTCTGTCTATCAGCCTGGTTCAACTGCAAGAGACAGAGGGGACACCAGAACCAGTGCCACGCTGAAGATGCTGGCAGGGCCTTCCTCCTCCTGATTATCATTCAGGCAGCTGTACACAACTTTTGGATTCAGTCCTCTGTGTAATCTGTAAAAGAGGGGGGTAAAAAACGCAAAGTTGAGTTATATTTTGTTAAATAGTGCAATACCATTTTGTTGGTAAAGAGATTTTTCTGTCAACTCCTGTTTGCATCAGCAGAGAACTTGCCATCTGATACTGTGCTTGTACAGTTATTTTTTTCCTCCTAATTCACTCCCATGACTTAAACGAAAACACAGTCTCTGCAAGTTTGGCTGTGAAAGTGCTTACACAAGGTATGGATAGCAGTATTGCTGATCATGTGCTAGAAAACTGAACATGTTTAATTTCTTCATCTGAGCCTTCACATTTGACTGAAATTCATCAAAAAACATTTATTCCACTCAATAAGTGTTTGCCAGTGTTTACCGTCTTAGTTAATCCATCCTAACCCTGTTTGAGGTAGTCTACCAGAATCACATTTATTTTATCTCTAAGTAGCTGTTTATCATTCCATTTGTCTGGTTCGGACAGGTAACCAAATCCTGACACACGCTTTTAGGCTGCAACCTTTGTGTCCACTTGACACCGAGGGCCCTGCGCACTGAGAGAGACTCATCTGGTTCTATTTCCACTTGCATTGTAGCAGATAACGTAACAGTCCAGGATATAGGATTGAATCATCTTATGTAAGGACATCATGTAAGGGCTTATGCAAAAAATAAATGTATTGATTGTGCCATGTCAGCAAAGAGGGGTTACGCAGTCCAAGAGAAAGGACAATTGAAGATGCAGAGAATTGAAAAGTGCTGTTAGATCTTCATCTTACATTGATTGTAAAAGCAACTTCTCGTTGATAAATTGCTAAAATCTTCCCACTCAACTAATTTAAACTGAGCTCACTTTAAAAGCCACAACAGATTCAATAACATCACTACCCTTATCAGACTGTACCACCAAAGCACACACAAATACATGCAAATATATCTTTAATTAAGTGTAAAGTTTAGATCCAGCTGTTTGCAGATGTCCGCACCACTCACCCGTGTCCCCGGCACTGTAGAAGTTGTTGTACCCTCTCTACCCTGCTTGGCAGCTCTGCTGTGCTTCCCCTTCTTTCCTTCAATCTCTCCCTCATCCAAAGTCACAATCAAGAGTGTCTCTAGCTCTATTAAAGCTCCCACTGGGTAATTTAATACCCTAAACGAAACCAGAGATGGCAGAGGTACCCACACGCACTCACAAGCGTACACATGCACACGCACACAAACACAGGCAAACAAAAACACATGCAGGAAACTCACTGTATTTTGTCTGTGGGGGTCAGCTGGCTTTTTTCTTCCTGCTCCCTCCTCCGTCAGTGGCATAAGTGAGGACGGTATAGGTAGCTCTCTGATAGGAGATTTACTCCGCAGGAGCCAATCGCTGTTTGATGTGAGGAAGGGAGAGTGGGACCCACTCTTTCCCCCTCTTTCCTGCAGAGTAAGCATCCACATGCAGGATCATCCAATACACCCTCACCTTGGGGATTATACTCTATTCTTCCCCTGTTACCGTACTTGTCAAAGCTTTCAATACCTGCAGAAGTGCACATCTGCCCAGGGGATTCAGCATTCTTTTGTTTATATCCTTCGTAATACTTGCTGACATGACATGATATTTCATCTGACAACAATATTCTAATTTATTGACATTTTATACAATGACACAAATGTTTTCCAAATATTTCCTGAAATCTCCATCTAACCTTTCTTTTGTCTTATAAACAGCCCTGTATATCTGTGCTAATGCAAATCCATAAAACATATGGCAGTTCCTCTTTGGAAAAACAAGAATTATAGGCAGTACACTCGAATCAGTTTTATTGATAAATACTATTCTGGGCACACATTTCCCCTAGAGGTGTTATGTATAGATTTGTGAGAGGGTTCATAGAGTTGAGAGATAAAAGAGAAAAAAAGCCCTTTTCCAAGATAATCCTGCAGATGTGTTGGTGTTTTTTAATTTCTGTTGTCCCTGCCAACTCTACCACCTTTGCGCCTGCCAGCTATTGAAGGTTTGTCAGATTAATAATGTAGCTCTCTGGCTGTGAAAAATTGTGACAAGACTAATTAAAAGGTTAAATTCACATTAGAAAAAGGCTCCATTTCCTTTTTTTAGGTCTGAATTCTCCCGAGGAGCGAAAACTTTAATCAAAGTTAATCTTACTTTCTCAGAAGGGCGGCCAATTTGGCATCATAGGTTGAATATTGTATTACCTGATAGATAACCAGTTGCCTGAAGTCGGAAATCATTCCCTCATCTCACTCTCGTCCTGCTGCAGCCAGGAGTTGGCTGTCTGCAGGTCCCCTCTAACATTGCGGCGTGAGCAGCACTACTGCAGGCACATGACTTCAAGGTCACAGAAAACTGTTTTGAGACTTTACAGCCCACACTTTGCTATACATCATCACACACCATCACCTCCAGGAATCTCCTAATGGGTCCTCATGGGAACATCGTGCACATGTGCATCAGTGAATATAAACTTCACATGTTTGTACCTGAGATATATGTTTGCCCATGCACAGGCGAGTACAGGGATGCAGGGACGTGCATGTGCACAAACTCAACTGACATGCTTCATATATCGGGATCTTTTTCTTGTGTGATCCTGCAATGTCCTGGACATGTCATTGAGATTGCAGTCAGCTGAGGTATGTCCTGCCACTTAAACACCTCATAATACAATTTGCTACAGGCAAAGACAGACACGAAGACGGACAGTGAGGGGGCGATCATAGACTGTGCAAGTCAGACTGAGAGGGTAAATAATCGATCCATTCCCTTGCAAAACGATTAGTGTCAGTAAAAGTGGGAAAGGGGAGGTAAATGGGTGAGATAGACTGCAGCTACTGCAGTGTCACTCGTCTCGGGACTCCTGACAGAGGATAACGTCTCTCCCTCTGTCCTTCTATACAGCCCTCGATCCATCATCCATCCCTCCTCCCTCCCTGCGTCCAGCCCTCCCCCGATGACACTGTCACCTTACCCATTAACAGACTGTGTTGACAAAGCAGTTTCTCCATCAGCATGCTTGTGTGTGAACTATACTGACACTGCATAGGTATAAACACCTCCTGTACACCTTTATATAGCTCGACTTTGAGCCATGGATGCCTGATAGGAATAGCAACATTTATTCCGGGAAAATAAATCCTACCTTCAGCACTGAAGTGAAGGAAGTATGCAGATTGTTCAGTAAAAGTAGCATTGCCATACCACACTGTGAAAATGATTCATTACAGGTAAAAGTCAAAATGCTGCTTAAGCAAGTATTATTAAGTGTAATTAGTACATGAAAATGTAATATGATGGTGTCATTGTGCTTGTTACTAACATAGCTTCCTCTCTTTTTATATTACATGCTGGTTATCTATTTTAATCATTTTTAAAATTATAATCTTATATTCTTATGTTCCCATCTTTTGTTTGACTTTTGCCTGCAGTTGGTCCTTTCATCCAACACCTTTAGGCGTCTTTTTTTGGATGTATGTGCTCTAGACTCTGTCTTTGGAAATGAAAAAAGTAACTAAATCTGCAGGCTACTCATCTTGTGCACATGATCTAAGTAATTCTATCTGAAAAGACCATATGCTCATCCATTAAGGGTGACAGGATTTCAAAGTGCATGTCAGGTAGCTCGGATTAGATATTCCAGCCTGGTAATCTTATATCTGTTGTAAAGGCAGCTGGTTATTCCAGTCCAGTAATCCTACATATTGCAGCAGAGGTTCTACTCATTGCAAATAACATACAAGGTTGGGTCAGGAGCATACAAGGGCATAACGGCTACAGCATATACCACGCCCATACAGCTCAAAACACAGTGTTAGGTAATGTTAAGTGACATGTTCATTCAAAACTTCAGAGTGCCATAAGTTCATACGGATTTAGTGTTAGTGGCACTCAGTTGAGCTGTACACCCTTACAGGGTTTCTAAATCACCTGTTTGGGATCTATTGTGGGTTCAGTTGATATCTAGATGGGATCGTAAGAGGTTTTAAACACTAATGTAAGATGTTGTAATTGTTTCTAATACAACCATGTAAGGGATTTCATTCTTAATGCAACCTAAATGGTACAAATGGCAACCAAAGAGCTGTTTAAAATCATACAAACAACTACAACCAATCCAAAACAATAATGTAAATCAGACAAATCAAGATTCTAAAATACACCTAAACATTGGCAGCCAGAAGACAGAACACCCTGTTTCTGCATCAGTGCATCAGTGATTTGAATTCACAAAAAGAGACCAGATTTAGCAGTTTTAGATCAAACTGCAGAAGGTTCCTGGCAGTGGGAGCAGTATGCAGTATGCATAAAAGCTCTTCTACCCAGTTCAGTGTGAACATTTGTTGCATATCATCCTGGCTCTTTCTCTCCCCTTGTTTCCTGACCTCTCTTCACCATCGCTGTCAAATAAAGGCAATAATTTCTGAAAAGAGAAATGCAACACGTAAATTCACGTGACAGACTAAAAAACTGTGTGGGGTCAGAAGTCCTTTAACAATGTGTTACCTAACATAATATACACAGTATACTGTCAATAGTTCACTACAATGACATGTGTGGAAAAAACCTTAATGCAACATAGCTGGCCAAGTATTACATATGCTAAAGAATCCCACCAGATATGTAATAATACATAAAAATAGTAAAGCACATCAACTTCTCCCTCACTATATGACCTGTAAACTATGACACAAGTCTATAAATATGCAAATATTTTTTATTTAAAAATTTTAACTGCTGGACACGTACTGTACGTCTCCATGGAAAGCTCCCTAATATGTGCACTGAAGGTTTTATGTTTTCACATCACACTGGCATAAGTTACATATTGGATCTCGTTCAC